CTTTGTTCATGATGTATTGGTTGAATCCCTGGCTCATGACTTGTACTGAGAGCTGTGTGTAGATAATCAATAATCTGGGAAAGAATCAAAACAGGAATGTGTGAAAAATAATGAAGAAAAGCCCTTAGAAAACTGGAAGTTCATTTCAACTTCAAGCATTCTTTCATAACATAAATACCCAGCCGAGTTCAGAAAAGGTGAAATGAATTACCATAAAAAGTCCAATACTATGAATTTTTGTCAACTTGTAACTACTAATCGGTTATTCTGTGAAAAAACTTGTATCCATGGCATAATTGGCCATTATTGTATTGCTGCATCTCTGAGAATAGCCTTTACTAGTCGACCATTACTGTTCAATAACCTGAAGGAGAAGATCCCGCTGTTGACCAACTCTATGTGTGTTTATCAATTCACCTGCTCGTGTGGAGCTAGGTATATCGGTCGTTCGACACGAGTTTTGTCCAAGAGGGTGCAAGAACACTATCCCGCATGGTTACGAAAAGGTGGAAGTGGAGAAATAAGAAGCGCGATCATTGAACATCTGGTCGATAATGATCACCCTATCTCTATAGCCTCCGTCTTTAAAGTCATCTACAAGGTAAAGAGTAATTTACCCAAATCACTACGTACCCGACTCATCTGTATTGCTGAAGCTTTGGCTATCGAAACAGAAAAGCCAGATCTCTGTGTACAGAAAACGTTCGTTCAACCCCTCCAACTTTCATGGTCTTAATCCCTCTATGCTAAAGTATGGTAATCCCCAATCATATTTTAGCTCTACCAATTTTTTCATTTTTTCATTTTTTTGTCTATTCAATTTGTATACTCTTCCTTATTAAGTCAATTGTTACTATTACTACTCTCACTTTTAATTGTCCCCGGTATTATTTCACTTGTTCCACTTGTCATTCTAAATCAATTCCTTTATGCAACATTAAATTCTATGCTATTAAATTTCACACAATATTACGTACCGTTTTTATTTTTTCGATTTGTCTACTAATCTTATAATTGCACACCTTTTTCAAGTTCTATCCATCCTATGAATTATTCTATATATGACATTAATTTGCTTTGCCACTTGACATTTAACTACGATTATAATCAGAAACATTTTAGTTTTAATTGCATTTCATATTATTATTATTATTTTATGCATTCACACCTATGTTTCAATTCCCTCACCGGATATAACTTCTTAAAAACCATATATATACGATTGTATAGCTTGATGATAAATTCGTTGAAAAAAGTCTCTTCGCTGAATCATTTGTTTTGATTTTCTACATTATTGTAACGCCAACAAATATCATATCTGATGATTGTAAGTGACAGAAACACATTTTATCGACAAGAATAATCTTCTTTCGGAACCGACTTTGAAATATTGGTCTGTTTAGATCTTAGGTGTTAACTCCTTTCTTAAGTATTTCAACTAAATGAATTCAGAGATAGTAAGTGCTTCGTATTGCTGTCTTATTTATTTGTGTTTATAACTCAGCGTGCTGCCCCTTATCGATTGTAGTTTACGTAGATTTTTAGAGGTTTTAATTAAAAACCTCTGGTATTTGGAAACAACCCAGTAATGAAGTGGACATCTTCATAATTGGCGACAACGTCATATGAGATGGACGAGTCAGCTTACCTCATAACTTGAATGTCCTCGTTCCCATCTCTGGTGTCGTTGTAGATGCATACACCTTTGAATAGACCGAAAATAGTTTTTCACTACTTCTTTGGTTTTCCTGGTGTTTACCTAACTGATGCGTCAGATCTTGGCGAAGTAAATAACAGTAGCTTAAGCTTAATCGAAACCAAGTTGGTTACATGAATTCTGTCAGTTAATTTAGTAAAATACTCACTAGTGAGTGATACCGGTGTTTATTAATTAAGAAATGTTAATATACGTGTTAAATTCCTTTCTTTCCCATCGTTTGTTACAGTTTCATTCGTATTTAAGTAGTATGAGTTATCATTTCCTTACGATTGGTTTAATTTAGTGTATCAACATTCTACTTGATATGGCTTAATTCCACCCTATTGATAAACGGTATCCTGGTGTATGTGTTTTCTTTGCTTTATGTTCCATCCTCTCTGTTGAACTTTGTTGATTCGAATTACTTGATTCTTCTTGATCTGCACATTCCCGTGTTGTTTATTACTGACTATGTTTCTTCGCACTGATTCACAGCTATAGTGATTTTGATGGCATAAAGCATAGACATCTCACAGTAAGAGGTTTGTATATTATATTTACTATATATAACAGTGTGATGTCGTACCGTAATTTAGACATATCCAGTGTGTTTTGGATTCTCATGCCTAACTCAAACGTTCCATTGAAATAATCAGTTGAAATTGTCGCTACGGACTTCATAGAAGAAATCTAAAACAGGGGTGAACAAACTTTTTAGCTATATATCATTGTTCTATTAAACATAAAGTAAGGAGACGTAACAGAGAGGAAGGAGATTTCTCTACCTTTTTAACTCATCCCTTTTATTAAGGAACCATGGTTTTTATTTATGCTCAACAAATGAATTAATAGAACCAACCGATATATACTAGTAATGATGTTCTAGATCCATGTATACCTAACGTGAGGAATAGTCTAGAAGGGAATTCAAATAGTGGAGATTTAGAAAGCTGGAAGTTGGTATTACTTCACAAGTGTAAACAATTATCTAGTCTATATAAATTTTCAAATGAGACAAAAGATGGTGGAAATATAGTAAATTGTTTATATGAGATCAGTGTTCTAGTAATTGGTAGTGTACACTACTGTTCTCTGAAGTAACAGTTATAATGAACCCGAAAAATCCAGCATTACCTCAGTTACAACATGAAGTCAAGCATCCATGACGAAACTGAAGATTGAGCTACTCTCTTCTGTGCCGTGAATTTTAATTTACCTCAGAATCAGACAACCTTTCACACCATCAACTCAAGCCGTTTGACGAATTTGTGAGTATATGAAAAATAAACATAACAAGTGTGTTATTTTCCTTTTCTTCGCATTGCGAATGGAACGTGATGATCCAAGCTTTGAAGATTGGGACGAAGTGGCGGCCGAGGGTTGCTAGCATCACACTCAACCGCCCCTCTTTTCTGAGCTTACTAATGCTAAGTAAACTAGGCTTTGGCTGCCGGGAATCGAACCCAAACCTTCCGTGCAACAAAATCATCGACGTACACAACTAGTAAACTTAATGTCAACTAAGTATCCGACAAACAGTTTACACAAAACACTCAAAAAAACAACTTTCTGAAGCTTTTTCGTGGCTTACCTGCTGTTGCTGATCAACCAGCTTTTGCAGTTGGCCAACAATAATCGACAATCCATTTGTAGTACATCGAACTTGTAATTTTTTCAACTTTGAAGGTGAAGTTGAAGAAGGTGTTTCACATTCTATAAGATCTATCACTGCATTTACCCATGACTCTATTTTATCTAAAATATCAGTCAATTTCTGTTCAAGCCTTTGTTTCTCTGCTAACCTCTCTGCTTCTAATCTGTCGTTTTCAGCTTGTCTTCTTTTTATAGCCTGAAAAAGAAAAGTAGGCAATAAATGACCTGAAGTGAATCAAAAAAGTGCACCACGGGTTTTTAGAATGATGACTGGTGATTAGTTGGGGCGGGGGGGGTTACACACCAGTGGTTAACCAATACAAACGTGACAGAGCTACGAAAACCTGGATAGATCATTAGTAATGTCTATAAGTGCAAAACTTGGAGGTGCGGTTTCGAACCTCCTAGGAGGTATTACTTCCTTCAACGTCGTAGCTATAATTTTGCTAATAAGTTACAGTTAACAATAAACTTAGGTGCATGGCTTGCGCCAGAACAAGATGAGTTAGCTAGGCTAGGCTGTAAGAAATAAAACGAAAACAGGATGATGCTTTAGACAAAAACATCTATGAGAAACCGTTGTTAACCAATAGGTACTGTAAGATCAATTCAGTTCCCATCCTTGAATCAAGTCAACCTGTCCCGGCTCAGCCTAGCGTTGTTGCAACCCAATTATCCATGCCTAACGTGTCTATCCCCCCTTGTTTAATGAACTGTGTGTGTGTTTTTACATCGATCCGTTTAGTCAGACAGTTGAACTCATGACCCAATCAGAGTATTTTTGTGAACTGTTATTTTGCTGACCCATGTCTTACTTTGTACTATTCTGTCGAGTTTATCTTATTTATTGATCTTCATCTGTATCAGCCTACCTGGTTAAGTAGCCAATTAAATTCTATCTTTGTGCCAATGCTCTGTCTATCTCTTAACCGCTCTCTGTTCCATGCCCTGCCTTATTTAGG